CTACGCCTCGGGTGTTTGCGAGATCCAAAAATCAGCTTGGTCATCAGTTTGTCACAGAGCTGATGCGTTTTCGGAGTCCTCCCTGCTGTGGATGTTGATGATCTTGCGCACCATGTCACGTTACCCTTAGTTGATGGCAGGGCTGACACTCGCAGTATTGTTCAACTGTCGTGCCTTGACAAGTGGGATCACCACAGTTAAACAATGACGCTCGGTGTTAGCTACCTTCAGACAAGATCGCACTGTTGACATTGCTGATTGCTAAGCTCACCTGTTGAAGTTGTGTACGGATCGAGATCACAGGCCAGTCCATACAAGCGTAAGTGAGCCTCTACCCGTATACAAAGGTCATCTCCAGTACTCTTGTCCCTCTAGCATCTGCACCATCCTGGCCTAGACGAGGCCAAATTCACGGCTTCATGGCTCCACAGCACCTGCTGGAATGTGTATGATAGGGAGACATGAGGAACTTGCTTTGTTTACACCATCTACTCGCTACATTTTCAAGTCAACAGACAGGATCTTACTGCTGATGCCACCTATAGACATGAAGTCGGTGACCAAAACACCGTGAAAGGCTAGACATGCCAGTAACACATAGGCTATCCTGTGTATATATACAGGGAACGGAGAGCCATCTAGCCCAATGCAGCCTGTCCCTGCTGATCAGCTCACCGCATTCACATTCAGGTTTTCCGTGTTTTACAACTCAATGCTTGCCATGCTGGCCAGCTAGCACACTCAGTGGACCATGGTCTGAGTTCGTAGCTTCGAGCCTCCCTTTTGCTGCCACTTGTATAGCTGCGCGAGCCTTCAAACGTATCTAGACATGTCTGGGATAGGATACTGTGTGACGAGGAAAGAAACGCTATGCCACTTGATGTGCAAAGCCTGCATGCGTCTGGGAGCAGTCAATCGTGCTCTCGCCATGGCATTTGTATGCCTAGTGCACGCATGTTGCAGTTAGCCAATCAGCAGGGAAACTTATCCGTCGGCTGATGGAGTTTCTTGGAGCAAACCAATTGTCACCATGACAACTTGAAAATAGAGTGGCTCCACACATTTGTCGTGCTGCTTCTCTTCGAACTACATGTACATGGCATGTGGAGCCAACAAAGCCGATATCATGTGACCCGTTCATCCAGTGATTGTCGCGGGGTTGGAATCAACATGGCTGCCCGTATGATCATGTGAACATGTACAATAGCTCTATGTCATGCTGATTGATCCCGGGTTTGATTTAAGAACCTCTGGGTGGTAATAGATATGTTTCCATGGTGAACACTGCCACCCTACGACAACCTGTGTCCCTTGGCTCTATGCTGATCATTCTTTGCAGTAAACCGCTCCGGAGACAACTAGACACTGGAGACAACAACGCTCAACTTGACAGGGACCACACCGGATAACTTTGGGAGATCAAAACGAACGAGAAGAAAGTGCCCTGTTTTGCGTTTGTCTCCTCATGTCTATTAGTAGGGCTGTGTTCTTGGTAAAAAATAATAAAATGGTGCAATGCAGACTGGACACTTCCAGGCATGGGTGAGCGGAACTGGGCGCCAACACCGAGCTGCTAAAAATCCATAATCTCCGCAGCACTGACAACCAGGACAGCGATTACTTTACGCCCAAACACCTCACACTCGCCGCTTGGTGCTGCATCTGTCACCGCTGGTACCTCAGGCATGGTCGTGGACGGCCTGACACAAGCGAAACTTCCTGTAAGTTGGTTGTGTTTCGCAATACAAGTGCACAGCAGGTGGTAACGCGCACGTTAGAGCCCAGTGACTTTTTTACTCTGACCAAATACCATTGTTTAACAGGCAAAAGGAGGGTCGTGACCAAACACAAGCCGAGTGAATCACTGACGCCAACTACCGAAAATTGCAGCTTTGTTCAACCTTGTTCAACTGGAGGTGGTCTAGCCAAATGGGACAATTTACTGGAATGAACAGTATCGACGGAAAAAGCCTGTTTTTCACGAATTGGGTTGGTCAACTTTTCAAAGTAAGGTCCAGCCATGGCCTGACCAGCATTACCGTGTGCTACAGCCATGTAAGGGAAATGGAGATTGCGCCTGTGCAGTCAGGTGGGGTGATTGCCCAAGTGTTCGAGCTTCAAAGTTGTTTGAGGTGGGCCACGCAACTGCGTCAGGCATTTGCTCAATACTGTGCTGAAATTCGTCAAGGCCAACCCACCTGTGCAGTCAATCCGAGTCACGCGGCCCAAAGGGCGAAAAAACTGCCCAGCGAGTGTTCACAAGGGTGAACAGCCTGCTTTACTTTGTTGCAGCATGTAGTCAACAGCTGGAATGGATTTTGAGACATGTATGCTTGCACAAGAACGAAATAGAGAGCTGTACACACTACCAAGAGCACAGTGCTGGCAACTGAAATCCGACCTCTAAGCGGTGCGTTCACATTCTACCGGTCTCTGTTTCGTAGTTTTACAATCCCGCGTTGGGTCTTTGCGATGTCAGCGCACCGCTCAGGGATCGGATTTCAGTTGCCAGCACCGAGGTTATGATTGTACTCTTGGTACATGTAATACTCAATATGTGGTAGTACATACCCTATTAGTATTACTATTAGGCGTGCAACAAGCTCAACCGGTGCCGTCTTCAACGAGATTCTTGGTCTTTCCGGCAAGCTTACCTCATCACACTCATCCGGCCGGTGCAGCTCTCCTTCCGGTTCGTGGAGTGGCAAATAATAATTCGAAAAACTCCATCAGCTCCATGATCCAAAGCCGTAGATGAGCTACACCGTAGCGCGCCAGGACGCCGCGTCTCCATGGAGTGCTCGGTCGTGCAGAGTGGAGCATATTTGCTTCCAAACAAATCCAGGGAGACTGTGCGTGGATCCAACTATTCGACATCTACTGCTTATCATTTTTTTCACGCGAAATGGTTGCGGGTGCGAAAGAACAGACAGGGATGATAACAAATTAATAGTTCAGTTCGTTCAACCGCTACCTTCTTTCATCAAGCAGTATGCTGGAGAATAACACTGCCTCCAATGTAGACCTTCTACTTAGACTTTCTGCTCTAGAAATTCGTGGATCTATCATGCACGACGACATACTGATGGACAGCAGCTCTGTGAACGAATCAAGGCGGCCAGGAGTGGACCTACTGAGTAGATCTATCGGAGCGAAGTGACGTTAGTTTATGATTGCTGAGGGTGCATCTATGGCGCGAACTAGCTGTGAACCTGTGAACCGGTAGATCTACCCGCTAAAGTAAAGGCTCGTCCGTGTAGATCTACATGGTGTATGCCCGGATATTTTGCTTTCGTACTTGTACAGTGTAGTGTGAGAAGTGCTGCCAAGTCCCACGACAACACTGATGACTGTGCTGTGCAGATATCTACACTATAGTACTACTAGTAGACCTACTACCTGGTTACCACGCAACTAGGGCTCAAACGGTCACGGTTTTACCCCCAACGGTTAACTGCTAAGCTAACGGTCGGTTTAACGGTTATAACCTATAAGCCACGGCAATCCTGCGGATTCTTTTTTAACCGTATATTTGACTATACTTATTCAAAAAATGTACCCTATTCATTACAACGTACACATGTTTATTCTCTTGCATGCTCATTCATACATACTCTCACACCAAGAGACCAGATATGACCGAGTTGGAAGCCCAGAAATTGCGTACGCGTGCGACAGCCTGCGAAAGTGCATACTTTGCAACGACCTGATACTTGAAAAATTGACTGAAAAGTTACTGCGTATTAAACCGTTATCTTTATCGGTTATTATTATTATTATTATTATTATTATTAACTTTTATTTTACTAGGGTGTTTCCCATAGACCTATGGTCTTCTTACGGGAGCCCCTAGGAAGGTTATGCATAAGCGAATAAATGAGCGGTAATCGGTACAAGTACGAACAGTTAACCGTTAGCAAGTGCAGTGTGACAATGGACATGCATGTGCAAGTGTGTGTGAGTGCGAATTTACTGGAATAGCGTAAGTGCGGTGACATTTTCTTTTTGTTTACAAAGATTTGGATCACGAATGCGAATGTAGACTGCTTCTAGAACTTTCAACTGCTTGAAACTACTTGCAGAACGAACAACACTGAACCAAGAATCATCATAACTTTCACGACACACGGGGTTAGACAACAAATGCAATTTAAAGCAGTTGAAAGTTCTAGAAGCAGTCTACATTCGCATTCGTGATCCAAATCTTTGTAAACAAAAAGAAAATGTCACCGCACTTACGCTATTCCAGTAAATTCGCACTCACACACACTTGCACATGCATGTCCATTGTCACACTGCACTTGCTGAATTTCCTATCATTTCTCACCTCACCTATAGTTAACCGTTAATCGGACTAACCGTTTGAACCCTACACGCAACACCCTCGTGTAGATCTACACTGCAGATCTACGTGTGTTGCTAGCTAGCGCTGGTCTAACTGTTACACTGCATGCAACGAGGTTAGGTTGTGCATTCACACTTAGTCTTTTGGCAAACCTCTCTCCCATAGGCTGAGAGGGTATAATTTATTTACTGTACTTTGATGATTCACAATATCTATCACACATAACATATTCATATTATTATCACAATGATCTAAGAAGACACTTTCTATGACTCCGAACGGACCAGGCCAGTTCCATCAAGGCCTGGAAAATAGTATAATAAAAGAGGCCAGCTGCATCAAGGCCTGGAACATCATTATGCGTGAGAAAACGTCAGCGTGACACATGTACAGCTTTTAAAAAGTGCTACTTTCGTGCACAAAGTGTCTGAGGAGGGGAAGAGGAAGAACGAGATAGATCAAATTGAGCAGGACAAAGGTAAGAAAAGAATTTTAAAATGAAGTTTCCACTTGAGTGATAGGTACCATCGTACCATCGATGTAACATCGATAAAATATTACTAGTATGCGAGAGCAACAGGGCTTGCTATGGCAGTGATGATGTCACTATGCATGCAACAATGCAGTTTTAAACATGAGCCTCTGGACTAGATGTTCACTTGCTGGAACTCAGGATGATGTCACCCGACTCAGGCAGGTGTTGAGGGTAGCCGTGATGCGGTGGTACATGCTCACTGGGCGGAACGTCCCCTGGGCTGAACCGGGGAAAGCTTTGCGGGTATGGGTACTGGGGAGGGTTGTGCGGTCGGTCCTCAACACGATCATTCTGTGCCGGACCTTCCGAGGGAACAGCAGCAACTGATGGCTGTGACTCATGCACATCATTGGGCGAGCCGAATCCGGGTTTCTCCGATGGATGGACGTCTGGCATGTGTTTAGGCATGTCCTGATGTGACACGATCACATTGGGGTCTTGGGCGTGCTCCTCCTCGTTTTCGGGTGTCTGGTCCAGATGGATCTGGCCGTGTTGCCCTGGGCTCACGTGCCCCTCCTCGTGGTCCGACTCTGCGTGTACCTCATGCAGCTGTGGTGCGGCGACCTCACAGCCAACCGTGTAGGCCTCCACACAGCGGCGTAGCTCTTGTCGTTCACAGTGACAGTCTCCGACTAGCGACTGGTCGGATGTGCAACTTTGTAGGACAGTTTCGTAGCTCTGCACACGGACTTGTCGCAACATCAGGCCGTGTTGATATCCTCGCTTGAAGCACCATCCCTCCTCACCGAACGCATAGCACTTGCTCTCAAGTACACTTTCCTCTTGGGCTTCGGCTGGGCACTGTTCATACGCAAAGAAAGGTATGGCAACATATCCGTGTTCCTCCTGCTGCTGCTGGTCCTCTTCGCGGTGGGGCTCCTCCTCGTGGTGGGGCTCCTCATGGTGGTGTGGTTCCTCCTCGTGGTGTGGTTCCCCCTCGTGGTGGGGTTCCCCCTCGTGGTGTGGTTCCTCCTCGTGGTGTGGTTCCTCCTCGTGGTGGGGTTCCCCCTCGTGGTGTGGTTCCCCCTCGTGGTGTGGTTCCTCCTCGTGGTGTGGTTCCTCCTCGTGGTGGGGTTCCCCCTCGTGGTGTGGTTCCTCCTCGTGGTGTGGTTCCTCCTCGCGGTGTGGTTCCTCCTCGTGGTGTGGTTCCTCCTCGTGGTGTGGTTCCTCCTCGCGGTGTGGTTCCTCCTCGCGGTGAGGTTCCTCCTCGTGGTGTGGTTCCTCCTCGTGGTGTGGTTCCTCCTCGTGGTGTGGTTCCTCCTCGTGGTGTGGTTCCTCTTCGTGGTGTGGTTCCTCCTCGTGGTGTGGTTCCTCCTCGTGGTGTGGTCCCTCGTGGTGTGGACCCTCGTGATGTGGTTCCTCGCGGTGTGGTTCCTCGTGATGTGGACCCTCGTGATGTGGTCCCTCGTGGTGTGGTTCCTCGTGGTGTGGTCCCTCGTGGTGTGGTTCCTCGTGGTGTGGTCCCTCGTGGTGTGGTCCCTCGTGGTGTGGTTCCTCGTGATGTGGACCCTCGTGGCGTGGTCCCTCGTGGTGTGGTTCCTCGTGATGTGGTCCATCGTGGTGTGGTTCCTCGTGATGTGGTTCCTCGTGGTGTGGTTCCTCGTGATGTGGACCCTCGTGGTGTGGTCCCCCGTGATGTGGTCCCTCGTGGTGTGGTTCCTCGTGATGTGGTCCATCGTGGTGTGGTTCCTCGTGATGTGGTCCCTCGTGGTGTGGTTCCTCGTGATGTGGACCCTCGTGGTGTGGTCCCTCGTGATGTGGTCCCTCGTGGTGTGGTTCCTCGTGATGTGGTCCATCGTGGTGTGGTTCCTCGTGATGTGGTTCCTCGTGGTGTGGTTCCTCGTGATGCGGACCCTCGTGGCGTGGTCCCCCGTGATGTGGTCCCTCATGGTGTGGCTGCTCGTGATGTAGCTGAGGTTCAAAATGAGGCTCCTGGTTATGGTGAGGTTCATTGTGATGGTGATGACCAGGATGGTGAGGATAATCGTGTTGATGCGGCTCTCCATGGCGAGATTGTCCAGCATGTCCTCCTCCATGGTGGTGGGGGTTGACATGATGCGGCTCTCCGTGATGAGGACCGAAATGATGATGAGGCTGTCCATGGTGCGGCTCGCCATGATGGTGACCGTGTCGATGGTGATGTGGCTCTTCAGGACGAGGGTGTACGCCATGGTGTGGTTCCTCGTGATGGGGCTCCTCGTCGTGGTGTGGCTCCTCGTGGTGTGGCTCCTCGTGGTGTGGCTCCTCGTGATGGGGCTCCTCGTGGTGTGGCTCCTCGTGATGGGGCTCCTCGTGGTGTGGCTCTTCACCTTGATGTGGCTCTTCACCGTGGTGCGGCCCCTCGCTGTGATGAGGCACTGGATCGGGGTTCTGATTACCGCTACGCGATCCAAACAGATCTAGCCATGCGCGAAGCAGCTGATCACCGTGCCTTTCATTCGCCTGATCACTGCCATTGGGCGCATCGGGGACAACGACTGGCACTGACAAAGCTTGTCCCACCAGGACAGCGGCTACTACTAGCAGGTACCCGCACACAGCCATCCTCTCCGCTCAGCTAGGATAATTCCTTCTTTCACCTCTCCTTCTCCAGGAGGTTCGAATGTAGGAAACTATAGTTCTGGAACTCGACTCGTATGATTGGATTGTGAACACAAGAAATGAAATTGGAAAATTTGCGATCCTATGGATGCGTCTGCAGTAATAGTACTCGTATTTGCTCTACTTGTTCGCAACGTCGTAAGCTGTTGTCCTGCGATACATACATGTTTAAGTATGGTATTTGGCCGAGACTCGAGAGTCCGAGGAAACGATGTAGAATGAGTCATTCGAATACGTCACTCAGTAGATAGCACTCATTTTCTCATGATTGTGTACGTTCTCAACGTTTCGAGCATACCGGACTGGTCCGTGAGCACAGTAAGTTAATTCAATACATACAACAAGTAATACTGTATTCGGGAGCCTCGGCAGCAAAGACGCCATAATTATGTCATGCTATCCGGCAGCAGACAACCCATGGCAAAGGGAAGGAATTGCTGCTGGTCGCACGCAGGCAGAGCCAGCCTACGTGGCCGTGGACGACTCCGACTCCGCGATGTCACTCCGGCACGCCAAGATGAATGCGCATGTTCTTGACACAGGGGCGATTGTCTGTGCTGCCACTGTGTCAGTGTGCTGACAGGCAGAGCGGTTCAGTACCAGGATCAAAGATGCGGAGGGCACCGCCCTGGTATGATGATAACTACGATAACACGGACCATCGCTAGCAAAAGCTCGACTCTAAATAGGCGGTATAGCCTAATCAGATAGGTCAGTGGCGGGTCCCCGATGCACTATAGAAGATCCTACACGAAATGGCGGGATTCGATAGCGATGAACTCTTCATCTTGGTTGCAGTAGTAGTACAGAGTCAGTCATGTACAGTCACATGTATATGTATGAATTGTATTGCACAATTACTTGTATAATAGTTGTAGTTGTGAGGAGCAGGTTTTGAAAGTGACAGATCGAATAATAATAATTCATTACTCAATCTGCGGACAGAACTGTTTCGTCCTGTGTGGACTCAAATTATTATGTCGCTGGGCCTGGTTCAAGTCCTGATGGTGACAGTTTTCTTCTTCAGACTGTTTCCCATTTGTTTGCATATTTCCCTAAAAAAAAAAATAAAAAAAATAAAAAAAAAATGGACTCAGATGGAAAGTGGAAAGGAAAAGGACATAATTATGGATACGAGTTAAGAGTAACTCTCCATTACTGTAACTGGATACTATATACAGTCAGAAAGTGCAATAACTAGGCACAAAACTGGCAAGAGTACTGAGACATTCGACGTCCTGACACCTAGCTTCAACACATCTCCGTAGCGCTAACCGACAGCCTTCCAACTTGGAAGGTTCAAGGTTATGGAAATACCAAAGAGGGGAAGGCAAGCGCAACGAAAACGAAAAATTCTTTGTTTCGTTGGGACTATAGCTTTTACTCGTTTTCGTTGCGCTTGCCTTCCCCTCTTTGGTATTTCCATAACCTTGAACCTTCCAAGTTGGAAGGCTGTCGGTTAGCGCTACGGAGATGTGTTGAAGCTAAGTGTCAGGACGTCGAATGTCTCAGTACTCTTGCCAGTTTTGTGCCTAGTTATTGCACTTTCTGACTGTATATAGTATCCAGTTACAGTGATGGAGAGTTACTCTTAACTCGTATCCATATGTCCTTTTCCTTTCCACATTTATTTATGGTTCAACATCCGAGTTTCAGATGGAAAGCCAAGGTTTAATTTATACAAAAGAGAAAGACCAAGGAACTACAAGTTACGCTATACTGTGCACTAACACCACCAGTTACTTAACATCTATATGGCGAAACGATCGTCGTGTGAAACTGCTGTTTGTTACCGCTGCTTATTGTCCATCTAAATTGTCATAGAAAAAGTAAAAGTAAATAATTATCGTGTCCGTTCCCAAAGGGAACTCACAACGGTAAATAAAGCTAAATAAAGCTAAATAAAGAATAGATCAAATATAACAAACAGGGCCGGTCGAGGCAGCTCGAAGCATGAGTAACTCGGTCAATGCACAAAAAAAGGTTTCACGCATTTCAGCGATCATCAGACAGCGGCATTTGGCATTCACCTCCGTTGTACATGTATGCGTAGATCGAATATTGACTTTTTGTTCTCCCCCATGGATTGGTGACATCAAGAGTCCATAATGGACTCTTGCCGTCTTGGTGACATGAATCAACACTGAAAGCTGTGAAGCACAGAACATGATTGTTAACAGGGCACCCACCGCAGAGTAGTGGAGTAGTCTGGATACAGACTCAGCATCACTAGTATGATAGTACAGTAGTATCAGTGAATGAAGGGTGCTATCCAGCAGTCTTTGAAAGTTGCCAAGGAAGATGCGCCTCTGACACTTCCGCAAGCGGAAACAGGAGTTGCTACCGACCGTGAATGACTGACAGTCTGTGCTTACATGTACATGATTGTACATAACACAATCTGGTAACTGTACATAAAAATATCTCCAATAAGTATAGTTATGCGGCAGAGCCTCGGTACATGAAAATAAGATAACGTCTCATCGGAATACCACTACAGCACAATGTCATGTGCATACATTGTATGGAATCCCTATAACAATCTCAACACGGCTTGTGATTAGGCATGGCGTGTGCACACTATACACAGTACTGGAAGGTCGAACAACACACCATGCAACAGTGCAACATTGTGCCAACTGCATCGCCCCGTTAAGGGGCCATCGACAATTTTCACGAAACGAAGAAAAAAAAAGTTGAGTTAGGACCCTCCCCAGGAGAGTATCGTTTTGAAAATTATTGATGTGTGAGACATCAATGCATTCTAGCTGTCAAGTCAATCTATTCCTTCACCCACGGCCACCCACCCACAAGCGAAACTTTTTCTTTTCGTGTAAAAGTTCGATAATTATGGACGGACCCGTAAGAGAGCATTATGATATGGACTGCAGATATTTCTACCTGCATCCGTGTGTTTTCTAAATGCAAGGCATGCCCTGCATGGTGATGGTGGCCACACGCCTCGCAGCTCGTGCTTGGTGCAGCAATGTGCCCTGATGTCCCAACAACCCGTCTAGCAAGGCCGAGCACGGTGCGGCTTCAGCACAAATCACCCCATCTCATACGAGACACAGCTTGCACACAAATCTCAGTGTAATCCGCAAGGGTGGCTTCCAACCCAACCAGGGAGACGTGAAATACCTGTACAGCTGTACTAGTTTTATAACGGGGCATATCGGCATTTTACGACTCCATGCTTCCAACCTGTCATGGCAGCTTCACATTATGTGTGAATATTTCACTTTTCATAGTCTCACACCTGGACAGCTAGCTGTTTCTACGTTGTTAGCTCTCCGCCTCAGCAGCAGGGCTCAGAGTCACTGGCCAAAACCAATCGCAATGAGGTCCAGTGAGCAACAACACATGTTTAAACCGGCCTAAAAGTAAAAGCGCATCAAAGGTCGGCGTGCGCTAACTGCAAGAAACACAGTGAGCAGGTGACGGGGGCAGGTTTGACAATAACCAGACGGAGTGCTGAGTAAATTCCATATCCATTGAGTATTTACATGCCGTAAGAACAATAGACGTTGGATATAAGCATGTGTGTAGGTGTAATGTACATTTGAATTTGAATCGTAGTGAAGAGACCGTTTTCGGACGGTTTGGAGTTGAGAAGTTAAAGTTTTCTAAATATGTAAATGGCTGTGTTGGAGTTTGCAGACAATTAGAAAACTGTGTAGACACACACGGAACAAATTCAAAAGGAAAGACGACACGCGGATACATGCACCGCATTTCAAAAACTGGCAAGCATCCTCACGGAACCAGCATCTGATTGCCTCGAGCTTCCGTCACTTAAACAACATGCATAACCGGTTCAACGGATGCAGAGATCTCTACAGGGGTTCCAGTTTAGCCAAAATTAGATAACTGATACATGGACATGTACATGCATGTGGCTTCCAGTAGTACATTGCCAAATTTAGGGGGTTCCCCGGAACCCCTCTGGATCCGCCTCGGAATCCCCTGGATTAGGCCCTATAATAAAAAATCAGCTGTAGCTTACTTGCTCTCATGAAACGGTGCTCAATGGCGCGGTTCCTGCAGTGTGCATCGGTGAGAGGAAAGGCACAACATGGAGAGAGTTTGTGCAACACACTTAGCAGAAGAGGTCAGCAGCTTGTAGGGCGATTGTCGCAAATGGATTGGTGCCGAGGCTCGCTAAAAGGAGAACAGGAAATATTTACGAGAGGCAGCGCCTGGTTACCGATGATGTTTTAATCGTAGCCGGTTGTCTACACTGGCTATCTGCTCACTTATCCAGCACCTCCTGTGATTCGTACAGGGGATTGTCCTTGACAGGTGCCTGGGCTGGTGCAGAGTACACTGGGTTGCTGAATCCAACCTGTTGTATGTACACACACACACACACACACCATGACACACACACACACACACACACACACTCACACACACATACTCACACACATGCCGTGACACACACCCTTGCACACACAAATGCATGCACACATACATACACGTGCACACACACACACGCGCGCGCGCGCGCACACACGAACAGAGGTGTTAGGAGTGGCGAGATGTGTTTCACCCCCACCTTGCATAAGAGGAATGGATGTCACTACAGCAAAATCTGGGCATCTTGGCAACGGCTGTTCTCCTGCCCTATGAAGGGGCAAGGAACCTTGGGGTTCGAGTTTCTGCACGGCTGGTGGGGACATGCACACACGTCTCATTATTATTCTTTTGACGCCCATCGCCGAAGGCAATGATAGCAATGGTTCAGCAGAAGCCATAGCAACTTGTGCCCGGATTGCACCATTCAACAGCTTGCAAGGCTGAAGAATTGCCCGCCACTAGTCAGCCTGGTCTACACCAAAAAAGCTATGAAGTGGCTTTTTCTGGACAGTGAATGCCTATGTTTTGGTCTTTTTCATTGTTCTTCCCGCACACCCATCACACCACATACTCCAGCATGCACTGGCTGTTGGTAACCACCCAGGAGAATGCACACATACACATACACACACACACGTGCACACACATTTGCACGTGCACACACCCACACATGCACGTGTACATACACACATGCGTGCAAGTACATTGCACGTACATACATACACACACACACACACCATTGGACGCCCATCGCCAAAGGCGATGATAGCGATGCTACAGCAGAAGCCATAGCAGCTTGTGCTGGGATTGCACCATTCAACAACTTGCAAGGCTGAAGAATTGACCGCCACTATTCAGCCTGGTCTACACCACACAGCTATGAAGTGGCTTTTTCTGGCCAGTGAATCCCTACTTTTTGGTCTTTTTTCATTTCTTTCCCGCACACACATCACACCACATACTCCGGCATGCATTGGCTGTTGGTAACCACCCAGGAGAATGAAAGAAAAGTCAGGAGAAGTCTGAGAAAGAGAAGAAAGACGTGTGTGACCGTAATCGTCGGGAATCGAACCCGTAACCTCTCGATTGGAAATCGCTGCACATACCACTGCACCATATGGGACACACACATGCCCACATACACACACATGTGCACACATGCACGTATGCAGAAGTGAAAGTACACACATATGCTTACACACATATACACATGTGTACATACACATGCACACACACCACAAGGAGAGAGAGACAGAGAGAGAGAGACAGAGAGAGAGAGAGAGAGAGAGAGAGAGAGAGAGAGAGAGAGAGAGAGAGAGAGAGAGAGAGAGAGAGAGAGAGAGAGAGAGAGAGAGAGAGAGAGAGAGAGAGAGAGAGAGAGAGAGAGAGAGAGAGAGAGAGACAGGGAGAGAGAGAGAGAGAGAGAGAGAGAGACAGAGAGAGGGAGAGAGAGAGAGAGAGACAGAGAGAGGGAGAGAGAGAGAGAGGACATGGGTCCGTGGTGTCCGCACACAGGTAGACATGTTATCTCAACACTCACTTCTTAGCGGACATGACTTCAGCATGGGGCCAAATTTTCTGCATCTCAATTCGATCTCAGGTCAGATGCTTCGTGAGAAACTACCTAAATCCACCAAAACTCGGGCCACTCCTCCCACATTGTTTCGGCATACTGTCGGAAGTACATGACGCTGATCAGGACGGTGATGAGAGCGGCCAGGGCCAGAGCAGCGAAAACGACGACGCAGTGTTGATGCTGCTGCATGTGCACACCGTAGATACATTAAAGCACATAACAGGGTTAGGCATCGGCTCACTCATCAGCAGGGCTATTAGAAATACTTCAAAGAACGTATGTAGCTAATAATCTGGACAAATCTGTCATTTGTTGGCCCCATAAATTACACACACACACACACACACACACACACACACACACACACACACACACACACACACACACACGAGACAGTGGCAAGAAGAGAGAAGAGACGAGAGAAATCGAAAGTCAACAGAACTTGGCATCGCGTTGCAAGTCCTGTGACGTCGAGAACCGCCTGTTGCAATGTTCACATTCACGATGACAGCCGTTTCTGGCTGCATGTGACATTCGTTTACCACGGTCGCAGTGACAACAGCTCAAACCAGGACGGGAGCAGAAAGATCGGCGGCATACATCATATGGAAAAGATGGGCTATATGACTAGTTCAGCAGGACATGTGACCCAATCATAGACCAAAGCAAGCTGGAATAATAGTACTCGTATGATGTGCGGTATGCCCTGCCTGCCCGGGTCATTCCATCACAGACATTGCACAGTAGAAGTTACTACTGTCGGCTGCAGAAGAACGGAGTGCTGACGAACGAACAGACTAGGATTTCATCAAGCACAGCATACCAATGTATACACGGTGACTCAACTGTGCATAGACTACAATACATGAAAAGAAGAACGGCCCGGGCTAGGAGGCTGACCCCCCCCCCCAGTTCTTCGCTACCCAACAGTACTGTATCATCTTACAAGCCGAGCACGTTGATTGCTTTCAAGGAACTTACTGTCAGAGTCAATGCGTGCTCCTGTACTGGCGTTTAGCATCTCTGTAGATACAAGCAAGAAGAAAAGACTAGACAAATTGCAATTTCAAATTTGGACTTCACGGAGAATTTCAAAGTTTTACTTCGAAGTAGTAAATTAGAGGCCACGTGCCACGTACCGCTCTTATCTGTCTTGCAAGTGTTGAGTTTCGGAGAGAAAAGAGCGGTACGTGGCATGTGGCCTCTAATTTCCTAAAACTAAGAAAAGACAACTTAGAAGAAATCAAACGGAAACGAGTTATGAAGCAACTATCCACGACTGTAGCAAGATAATAACAGATAATAACAGAAAGTGCGATACATAGGGCACAAAACTGAAAGGCTACTGAGACATCCAATGATAGATAGAAGATAGTTGCTTGATAACTCATTTCCATGTGATTTCTTCTATTTTGATTATATTTACTGGCTCAGTATGCGAGTTAAAAGACAACTTCACACTCTGTACGTGCACACCTGTCTCCCTCCTGCCCCACTCCAGTAGCAAGTCACCACAAGAGTACAAGTAGAGACAATTCTGGCAAGACATTGACGTCGTTACATAGCAATGCCCTTGAGCTGGTAGTCGACCGGGCGCAGTTGTTCCCGGCACCACCTTCCCAGCCGGGCCATCCGGCTTGATTCGGATTGTTTGAGGTCAGCAAGCATGCTCTGACGAACCGAAGGAGCCCCACCTCAACCAGGTCAGTGTGCACCTGGTTGATTTGTTTCGCCCAGGTGCACACACCTTATCAGCTGATCAGTTATGTCACAGGCCCTGCTCACCTGGCAATGGAGAAGGCAATGAACAGACCGGTACAGAGTCCAGACGCTTGCTTTGCTTTTTCAGAGCTCAGCAGCAGAGAAATAGGTGTAGATTCTGTCGAATAAATTACACGAGGTATCGGACATGGGTACATTCTACATACCGTATTTCCCCGATTACAAGTTGCACTCAATTATAAGTCGCAACCCCCATTTTCAGGTTTGAGCCATATTGATTTGATACAATTATAGATTTCAGTAGTACCGTAAAATCCCGCCAGAGCGCCCCTACCTCCTCGTCGCTTCAGGTAGGGAGAGGCGGATGGGCGAGTCCTCCTTGCCGCATTCAGTGCAACATGAAAAAGTACTCACCCTACGAAAACTGTTCGTGCATCTCGTACACCGACCAAAGGTCAAGAGCCAGGAGTCGTACAGACCCGTCAAAACTCAGGGTTTGTGCGATCCCTGGTCAAGAGGGTACCTAGGGTGGGCACTGTTGCGTACATTTCCAACGGGGTCGAGCACGCGTCTGCAGTACTGTACAGTATGGCATCACAGACTGCGACAGAGTCATACGAGGATACATCCCTGACAAGAAGTCAGGGAGGGGCAGACAGGAGAGACGGGGCGCTCTGGCAGGATTTTACGGTAATAGTAAGTCATGCTCGATTGTAAGTCGCACCCCCCTGTTTTACCCTTGAATTTTAGTGTACAAAGGTGCGACTTACATTCGGGGAAATACGGTACACATGTTCACAGCCTCTACAAATGAAAGAAACCAACCAGCAGCCTACGGACCTGGGGTGGAGTGGAAAAAAATTCACGGTTCGCGTGAGACTCGGCTGGAGGCCGTGTTTTGCGCATCCATAGGAACGACACCACCCTATATGGATCAAGGCAGTGGAAATATCAGTGACAAATCAGTCAGTTTCTACTCAGAGTTTCTGTGATGTCCCTTTATTAAATAGAACATTGGTGGAAAGGTCCTGTATTCTGTGTAGGATATATTATTGCAAGCTCTGGTTAACCATAATCCCATGATCATTGCGTTGTAGAAGCTCTGCCACCGTGACTGTGTAGAGACGAACTGACTCGGCCTGATAAACTAGACTGGGTTCCGACACCCTTGATACCCTGTGTTCTACACACATGCAGCCCTAGAGAAACACATTTTTCTTGCCACTACGGTCACCTGCATGACGCGCGTGACCCACACTGCAAGCTCCACGCCGCGCGCAGTGCACCAGGTGTACTGGCACACGTCACAATGCTTTTCGACACGACCCAATGAATACATGCACGGTAGAGATATCACCTCTCGTCGTCAAAATTTGTACTTTTTTCAAGCCGATAGCAACTAAAATACTCGTTCGATATCTTTTCTAACAAGTAATTACCGAGTAATCGGTGTAATAGTTTCAGCCCTACACTGTGTAGAGACAAACTGACTTGACCTACTAGCCTTTTTCTGCCACCCTTGATACCCTGTGCTCCACATAGACCTGCCAAGTTTGTTTTTCTTTAGGCAGGAGATCTCCCTTAGTGAGAGAGAGAGGGGGGGGGGGGGGGGGGGTAACCAGTAGGGAGGGGGGGGGGGGGTAGCCAGTAGGGAGGTGAACAGGTTTACTGTAATGCTAACGAACATTCAATTCTAGCGATTTAACGAATTTTAAAAAAGGGTTAACATTTGAAGTCGTTACCGTATTATCTCTAATATAAGCACGGTCCTTTATTTTTTCAACGTACCTCCGCCCTGTGCTATTAATGGAGACGTTCCTTTATTGGAGACTGTTCCATTATTATTTCAACCTCATTTCAGAGGCATGTTGCCATGCCAAATTCATGTCAGACACACACATTCCAGGGGTTTTTCGCCGGTACTTTATTTTAGAGATAATACGGTACATCCATTTTACCAGGTACCGATAGACAGTGTGCGTATAATGGAGACTGAGCGCTTTATTTTTTGAATGCCGCCCCAAGGTGTTCTATTATTGGAGACATGCTATTATTGGAGACTGTGCTTATATCAGAGATAATACGGTATGTGCAAAACGATTATGTTCATTGCACATGTACAGTCATTTGCCGGTTTTGAGACAGAATTTGTTATAATTATTGCGTTAAAATATCTGGTCTTACAGTATTCCACTCGCATGCTGGACGTGCTGTAAATGGCAGCATGCATGCGTGTGTTCGCAGAGTCACTAGCTGCACTGCACTACACCCAGTGTAACTAACACCGGGGAGCCGTACACGTCACGACTCCCTGCCGGCACTGTGCTCGTAGATCTACACGACTGACCAGTCTACTACTGTGCATGCTTTTTTTTGTAGCTGGCTCTCCTGTGCGAGTCAGTGTACAGGGTTCGGTGGGCATGCTTGACGACTCTTGAAAAAACGGCAGCAAATCGGGTTGTTCTTCATATCGGGTGGGAGATCGGGAGATGTTTCAAAAACAACACCAAAATCGGGAGACTTGGCACCTCTGTAGATGGTTAGAGATGCAGCATTCCCTTCTCTTTGAAGACTGAAGTGATCACATCTAGAGTTTACAACCAAGAGTATACAACTGTGCTCAGAATAAAACGTCTCGTGGACGTTGCAAATGCACCTTGGTCTGGACGCGATGCCGCACATGAGACGTGCAATGCTCTCGACGCGTCTAAAACAAATCCCCAGAACATAATATTCGAAGCACACAAAATACGAACACACCTAGACCGCTCTCTGTGCATGTGTGTTCCTGCCGTCCCCCCCCCCCCCCCCCCAAGAAACTCTCAGGGGAATTTTTCTCGTATAACCCCCCAAGAGTGTGCAACTCTGCATATGGGGTCTCCGACGGCGAAAACTCACATCACGTGTCTCAGGCAAGTTCGTACTACGTACAAACGGAGGATGGCGTGCGCGCAATCCGATTATCTGCCATGATCATGCTGGGGATTTGCATCCCCGCAGTGAGTTTCTGTCAGAGAGTGCTTTTTTTATTACTCCGCTGCTCGCTAAATGTACAACTGCGACACTGCACCACGTGATGTGAGTTTTCGCCGTCGGCGTGCCCCATAGAAAGGGTATCAGGAGTTGCACACTCTTCGGGGGTTATACAGGCGCGTCGCACCGACTTCGGAGGTGGGGTGGCCATGGAAGGGGGGTCCGGGGGTCGTCCCCCCGGGAAAAAATTTCAAAAATTGAAGCCAATTGCAAGCATTTCCGGGCATTTGGTGCCATTTCAGTGTACGGTAACTACAATGAAAGACTTTTTGATTCTGCAACAAACCAAGATGCTACGATCGGGGACAAACATTACCCTCCCCCGGGAAAAAAATTCAAAAATTGAATCCAATTGCAAGCATTCCCAGGCATTTGGTGCCATTTCAGTGTACATGGACTTTTGATTCTGCAACAAACCACGATCGGGGACAAGGATTTGCCACGTTTGCGCTGAGATCATCGCGCTTTGTTGCAGTGTGCTCAAAAAAAAAAAAAAACGGCCGAAAAAGTGGGGCGGCCATGGCCGCCCCGGCCGGTGCGGTTCCGACGCCCTTGTTATAATACTCTTGGTATTACTAGTACATTCGTGCATAATTATGTTCACTACAAGTAGCACGAGTAGCACAGTTGTATTACCGTATTTGCTATTTTCTCTGTTAAAGGGGCACTCCGGGAATTTTTTCGGTGGTGTGTTCTCTTCATGGGGACCTTATATGGCCCCCAAGGAATGGGGAATCGCGAGAACTAGACCCAAAAAGTCGATAATATGAAGCCAGGGAGGGCCAAGTTTGTCTCCTCTTTTGATGGTTTTGATGACGTCACGTGTGATTAGTATTCAAATTCTCTGCATTTGAAGATCTTAGTTGTTTGAATTTTCTGGTGATGAAGAACGATGTTTGGTATTCCCAAGCTTCACAACTGCGACCATACTCTAAGGAACCTGAAGGACCTCCTGAGGTGCCCTGGTAGAAGCGCAGCCTGATGAGGGCCAGGAAATTGGAGCGGACGACTTCACTCGTCGACAAGGAAATAACGATTGGTGTTCCTGCCAGAAATGTGGGGTGATGCAGAGGGCAGTCGATTACCTTCGCTGTCGAGAGAGCGCTGCAGCTGTTAGCATTGACAGCCCTTTGACATGCGTTACACATCACCCCGACTTCGCGTCAGCTTGTCTAAACAAAACTGTTCTGACCATATGCCTCGCGGCGTATAGAGAATTTCGGGATCCTCGTACTCGGACCAGTAAAGTCGTCCGCTCCAATCTCCTGGCCCTCATCAGGCTGCGCTTCTACCAGGGGCACCTCAGGGGGTCCTTCAGGTTCCTTAGAGTATGTCCGCGGTTGTGAAGCTTGGGAATGTCGACCAAACATCGTTCTTCATCACCAGAAAATTCAATCAACTAAGATCTTCAAATGCAGAGAATTTGAATACTAATCACACGTGACGTCATCAAAACCATCAAAAGAGGAGACAAACTTGGCCCTCCCTGGCTTCAACTATCGACTTTTTGGGTCCAGTTTTCGCGATTCCCCATTCCTAGGGGGCCATATAAGGCCCCCATGAAGAGAACACACCACCGAAAAAATTCCCGGAGTGCCCTTTTAAAAGCCCAGGTCTCCTATAATAGCCCAGTCTCCAATAATGACCCGGGGTGAGGGTTGTTTGAAATAATAAAGAGCACAGTCTCTAATAGAAGCGTGGGCCACAATTGGAGCATGCAACAAGTTTATCGACTGCATATCAATAGCAGTACAATATGCCAAGCATATGTTTGTAAGGAGGTTTATCGGTCTACTGCTTCCTTCCTGGTGCCCATGTTTAGGGGTCAAAGGGGTGTTCCGGGTACCCGGGTACCCGCCCGTTAATCTCAGGTACCGTTAGTAAAAGGGTACCCGTTTCGATTTCGGTGATCAAGTCAGTACGAAACAACGCTGCTGGGATCGTGCATTCCAGGCGGGAGTCAATTATTTACAACTCCAAGCTACATGCCTGAATTGTTATTGCATTTTCGCACCTAGTAGATCTACCTCTGCGACTATCAGACTCAAATCAACTGGCGAATCACAATGTGATTTCAAAATGCAACCTGAGAACAGATAAATTACTATCATGGTTTATATGAAAATTGCGCAAAAATTAAAACATGGCTGCTAAAGGGTACCCGTTAACCCGCCCGTTAAGAAAATTACCCGTTCGTTAGTTAAAGGTACACCCGTTTGACCCCTACTCATATTATTGTGAAACATCAGTTTATTACAATACTACTGAGTTTGTGGTTTAGAAAATCAGTACTGATATGCAGTGGTCAGTTTACGCCTATATAGACTGGAGTTGGCTGGATAGTGGAGCATTGAAAAAATAAGAGCCCAGTCTCCAATATTAGCACAGTCTCTACTAGTAGCGCAGGTAGAGCTGTCACTGAAATAATAAGAACTAGGGCTCAAACGGTCACGGTTTTACCCCCAACGGTTAACTGCTAAGCTAACGGTCGGTTTAACGGTTATAACCTATAAGCCACGGCAGTCCTGCGGACTCTTTTTAACCGTATATTTGGCTATACTTATTCAAAAAATGTACCCTATTCAGCACAACGCACACATGTATATTCCCTTGCATGCTCATTCATACATACTCTCACATGAAGAGACCAGATATGACCGAGTTGACAGCCCAGAAATTGCGCACGCGTGCGACAGCCTGCGAAAGTGCATACCTTGCAACGACCTGATACTTGAAAAATTGACTGAAAAGTTACTGCGTAACCGTTATCTTTATCGGTTAACCGTTAATTCTTCGTAACCGGTCTGCAACCGGTTAATCGGACTAACCGTTTGAGCCCTGATAAGAACCCTGGGCTCTTATTGGAGAAAGTGCGGTACAGCTGTATGTGTTCAGGGGATTCTTCAAGGGCACCGGGCCTATGATTATAATAGACTACTGTAAGACATGTATATATAACGAGGAAGCAAATCTAACGTTTTAACGGATGACATTTCTTCGTTATAATAAGATCCGTTGAGGCCGTACTGCTTCATATATGCTGTGTGTGGATATGGCAGAATACTGCAAGATCGTTAACATATCTTCTCGTTAACCTATGAATTTTGGACAATCGTTAAATTTGCGACTCGTTATAATAAAAACATGTCTTACAGTAAATCGAGAGAGTACACCTTATGCGTTCACAGTTGCATGTGCGAACAGCCTATCCTATTACATTGTATTAGACAGTATTCTGTACCAACCTGCAATCTTGTCGTATCATGTCGGATGTGGTGGGCATTCCAAACATCACGGAATGCCTGGAAATCGTCAAGCGAAACCTCTCGTCCATGACAAAAACGACCTTCCGCTGTGTTCCAGTTGAGAATCCTACGTAGCTACCTACTTCAGCCTCAGGACATTCGTCGCCCTCTGATATTGTTCCTTCCCAAGTACAGCAACCGTTATCCTACAACCTTGTAGGGTTATCAAAACTTATCATTTATGAAGAAATAGTGTGGTTCCACAAGAAAAAGTTTCATATGACTGACATCTTCATCTTCACCAGCACTTTGCGGGGCAAGCTTTCGCGCGAAAAACAGACCCGGCGGGCGCGATCGGTAACGAATCGCGACGTATCACGCTATGCGGTCGCACAACGTCCCGGGTTCGATACGGTGGCGGTGTGGGCCCAGCTGCTGCCTGTTCTGTGTTCTGGGCCATGGGGGTGCACCGGTGGTCGGGAGTGGGGCCGGGGTTAGGCCCCCGTGTAAATATGCCGGCATTTTTTTGAGCATTTTCGGTACAATCCGCAAACCCAGCATGCTAGCACTTTGGGCTCGTGATGCAGGCTCATGCAGCATTTTGGGGGAAACGGAGCACTTGGCCGTTGTGTATCAAAATTGAGAGAAGAAAACTTCCCAAACAAGAACGTCACTTCCGCATTCCGTGGGTTAGCTTCTTGTTGAGTAGTTTATGAATTGAAAATAATGGTTTTGACCAGGGAGTCGTAAAAATACCGGTATTTTCTGACTCCCTGCTTTTGAGTATTTTGACGGCGTGTGCTGAGGATTACAAAAAAATGAGCATTTTCCGAGCATTTTCGGCAAGGTTTGGGAGCATTTTCTGCAAGGTTTACGAGAATTTCCCAAAAGCATTTTCGGCAAAGTTTCGGGCATATTACACCGGGCCCTAGCCGGGGTGGGGCGATAGTCGATAGAGCATGAATCTGAAACCTGGCAATGATGATTGATGAACACGAAGTCTTTGGCCAGTATGTGCTATGAGCCTATTATTATTATTATTATGAAATGACCCAAAGGCAATGTGCCTATCGAGGGGTTCATTTGATTGAAAGAACAGTAGATGTAGATTTATGTACAAAGAGAAGTAGGGATTATTATTATTATTATTATTATTATCAAATTTTTGATAGGGCAATCCCCACAGGCCTAAGGCCTTCTTACAGGGTACCCTAGAAATGAAAGTACTGAATGACGGAATAGGTGCAGTGAAGAGCATAAGCGGACTGCAGCGGGGAGTGCATTCCAACGGTCGGAACCGATGAAAGAAACTGAAAAGAGACCGAAACGAGTTTTAGCTTTTGGTAGAGTGACAGACGAAGATACCTGAGAGCGAGTGCAGGAATTGGTACGAGTAGAAGTAGAACGAAGGCAAAAGCAATCAGTAAGGAGAGTAGTAGTTAACTGATTCAGGACACGAAACACTAAGATATAGAGTTTGAACTGATAGCGCACAGACAAAGGGAGAATGTGATGGCGTGCATTAACAAGGGATACGTCAGAAAAGCGAGGCATACTGAACACAATGCGTAGAGCTCTATTACTAAGACGGACTAGACGGTCATGAAGAGTTACTGACAAGCAATGAGCAAATGAGTTACTCCCATACTCGAGTACTGTCTGAATGGAACAAATGTAAAATGCACGCTTCGCAGTTACCGTCATGTGATCTCGGACCTTTCTGAACATGGCTAACTTACTTCCAACTTTCCGCTCTAGTTGGCTAACGTGCTCTCCGAAGGAGAGATGTTCGTCGAGTACAACGCCAAGGTATCGAATGTGTGCACTAGGGTTGATTGTGACCTCACCCAGCTGTAGAGCGACGCTGGGGTCAAGGGGCTTGCACTTTGACCTGAACACGACAAACTGCGTCTTGGAAGGATTCAGCAGTAAGCCTCTGGCCGCCAAGAACTCTTTCACTTTGACAATGTCTTCCGTCAGCTCCTTGCACAACTGTTCAACGTTCTTGCCAGCTTTGTAAAGGGAGACATCGTCCGCGTACTGTCGAGCCTTGCAGTGCCGGGGTAGGATTGATGAGGAGAGAAATGGGGAAAATCAACTGCAAGGTGGCGGAATTCCGTTGATTGCATAAGCATAGTCAGCTGTAAATTTATTTATTTATTTATTTATTTATTTATTTATTCAACATCTCCTGGCCCGTCCGAAGACTGCCAATAAACATGAGAGGTCAGGTGATAGCCAACCACGGCAAGCTAAAAAGGGAAAAAAAAAAAAGAAAGATGCTGTCAGAGAGGGAAAGGAGATAGGGAGAGAAAAGAAAGGGAGGCACATTAATAATACATGGGATCACTTCGGATGAGAGAAATTTCCTGAGGGCAGCTTTGAACTTATAGAGCGAGGCTTCCGATGTTAGCCTGGGGGTAAACACTATGAAGTATTTCTTTCCTTCCACTGCCAGTTGCATCTTCCTTTCTGCTCCGTTTTGACACTGTGGTAGTGCGGACGACTGACAGGCGCGTGTCACCTTGGTGTTACCCTTACCCCGAACCTTCGTTTCTCAGACCAATGACCATGATTACATGATTGTATTACTGAAATCACTAGTAAGTACATGTATAGCAGTAGAGTATTTCTATTATGCCACATGACCCGTTGTCTGCCTACGCCAACCATCAAAATTCAATAACTACTGTATACTGTCACTGTTATGTGGGGCCCTTACTTTTTTTTTTTAGGGTTTATCGGGTGTTAGCGGCCGTCGTGAGTTCCCTTCGGGAACGGCCGGATACGATAATTTGCTTTTTTTTATTAACTTTTTTTACCCTTACTGCCTACTGCCGGTACATGGAGTGTACATGTTCCTGTTTGGCTATTCGCCATCTATTGATTCTATTCACCATCTGATTGTTCTCGTCTACATGGTCTTCGCAATCCTGCACATTGGACCGACTGCAAGCTCAGTACTGCTGCCGGATCCTACCTGATGTGTAAGACCCGACATGCACAGACTCAGTGCGTTCCCTACTTGGACAACATCCAAGAATGTGCGGAATCATCAGATTCTGTGTGACCGGGAATCGCTACAATGGCGTCGTCAAATTCTTTCTCTAGTTTATTTTCATCATGTATTCTACCAATTTCCATCACTACTGGGCCTGTTTAGCTTCACCATCTCCAGAAGCTGCCGCCCTCACCCCCCCGCCCCCCACCCCCCGTCCTCTATCGTTTTGCCTCGTTCTGGAACTCATTTCTTTAAATCTCCTCTTTTCGGTTTATCAGTTGTCTGCCGGAACAAGCTCCCTGAGAGCCTACACAGGGAGCGATCCTCTGCTAAGTTTCAGTTTCTCCTAAGGGACCATTATTTAAAGCATAAATTCTCCACGACTGGTATTCCTGATTTTCATATCTAGCGCTCGTCATGTATTCTGTTTCTCCTTGGTGTGTTTTACCTGAAGTTTTCCTTGAGCAGTGGTTCTGCTAAGTATCAGTCTTGTCCCTTTTCACTTCCCTTTCGTCTCATCCACCCTTCCAGGGAACTCCCCGGATAAGTATCTACTTACCTTTGGAGAATCCTTCAAATCGAAATTTTACCTTTCTCTTGTCGTTCGTCCCTCTTGATATTTGTGCTTTGTACTGGTGAGGCAACGAACTGATAATTGTTTTTGAACTCATAATAAAACCAAACCAAACCAAAGTAAACATAAGCATGGGATAATAATGGTGCCGAGAAAAATGCCTGAAGGTCACAACAATTTTGAACTGTACAGCCCAAATAAGACTAACCATCGTGAAATCAAACTTCAACAGTGTTTGTACATGCATGTACTATATATGTGGCCACATTTGCCATCGTAAACTCGCTAGTATAGTTCTGAGAGATCGCAGAGAATAGTGACGCAAACATTGCCATGACTGGGCGGTTTACAGTACCTTGTTGAAAGAAAGTTGTTTAACAAAAACTGAAGCCTCCCTCGTATTATGTACAACCCAGGGTCAATGAACTGTACACGTGCATACTATATGAACTCCATCTCTTTCTTTCAACTGAATCTGATGTACAGACATGTACTTATACTTGTCTTGAGAAAGATTCGCCCCAACCATCATGCATTGCTTGGAATCAGGGAGTAGTACAATACTGTATTGTATAGTAGTGTACTACTCCCTGCTTGGAATAAGACTAAAAACTAAGATACTACATTTGTAGGAAGAGTACATAACTGGTGATGTCAGCAGATTGGATTTGGAATACCCTCAGAGTAACAGAACAAGATAGCCTTGCCCCATTGCATACTTATAATCTATCATACCAAGAGTTGCGATGCATGCATTTGCTGGAATGAGCAATAATTCCACACCCATGCTGATTGAAGACACTCCTGCAACGAAGTCTGTTATTAATTTTAGACTGATCAGTCAACAAAAGCAACGGCAGGGTACTGTGCAACAGGCTGATTGAAGGACAGCGGCATGAAATTTATAGGAACGAATCAGTTTATCATTGACATCATAGGAGCACATGCAGTGCATGAAGGCAAGAATTGAACAATTGAAGATAGGAACATTCTAGAGATGGATCAAGTTATCGATATAGATAGGTACGGAATATGAATTTCACACAATTGAAAATATGGGATCATAGAGGTCGGCATGGCATCACTTTTGGAAGTTTACAGTGAACACAGGTTACAGGGTCAAAATCATTGAGTTGCAAGCCGTGCATGCAGGTGAAAGTCAAAATCATTTGTATCGCAAACAGGTGAAGAGTATAGAATCGTTGAAGGATTTATCCTGTTCTTCTAGTGACCGAGCACGAGGACAGGTTTCGCATCGGACTGAACGTCTCCAACACTAAGCACTGGCAAGTGTTCCGGCTGCGGCACAGGCTGAGGATTGCGTGCACTCTGCTCAGCAGGACTGTCTTGCTTGGGGCTGGCTGAGAGAATGATATCTGATGGCACAGGTTCGGGCAAGGTGAGCTTTTCCTCGTTCAATGGACGGGCGCCTGGCGTGAGGACTGGCACATCCTCATGATGGGATGCCTGCAAAATTTGGACAAGGTCATTCAGCGAAAGGCCCGGATGTCCCTCGGGGCGCGGCTGCTCGATGTCATTCTCACTGCGTACGTCGGAATCTTCAACATGCAGCTGAGGCTTCTCTTCGGCAAAGGTCTCACAGCCAAAGGCATATGCTGCCATGCAGAGAGCTTGCTTCTGTTCACAATGACAGGTGCCG